TGTGTCTCTCTCTGTCAAATAAATAAATGAAATCTTTAAAAAAAATAATAAATACAAATGTTTGCCTTTGTCCTAGACTGGGATGAGATGACTAGGACCTCAGGTCATGGTAACAGCTTGAAAAAAGCAAAGAAACATGAAAGCTCATGAGTGTTACAAGAAGGGAAAATGACTCAGTACTCCTAAAGCAAGAAGTCCAGCTCTGGCTATCCATCACACTCATCTGGGGAACCTTTGAAAAATAGACCTACATTGTGTTCTCCTCCCCCAGATTCACACTCATTTGATATCGGGTTGCAGGATGCATCCAAGTTTTGGTATTTGCTAAAAGCTGTACTTGCAGGTGGGTCTGACCGGGCCCAAAGAACTACTATTCAAGGGTTGCATAGAGAGAAGCCTGGGAAAGGTCTTTCAGAATCTTATTGCAAGGGCCTCGAATATCATGCTCATAAATTTGGAATTAACTCCGTAATAATTTTATTAAATTTTTTTTTAAATTTATTTGACAGAGATCACAGGTAGGCAGAGAGGCAGGCAGAGAGAGAGGAAGGAAAGCAGGCTCCCTGCTGAGCAGAGAGCCCGACGCGGGGCTCGATCCCAGGACCCTGGGATCATGACCTGAGCCGAAAGCATAGGCTTTAACCCACTGAGCCACCCAGGGGCCCCCTGTAATAAATTTTTAAAAAGCCTAAAAAGGCTTTGAGAACACATGGGTGACATGATCAGATCTGTCCTAGAATGAAACTACGTTGACAGAAAGCAGGGTAAATTTGATGAAGAAGAGATCATAGGCAGGGAAACCTGGAGAATATTCGAAACAAACCCAGTGAGAGATAATTAAGCCTGAACAGAAGGGGTTAATTAGGGGAAGGGCCAGAGTGCTTCTAAGAAATTGCAGCACATGGTCTCAAGTGCAGGAGTTTGACAGATAAGGAACGAAAATGGACTATAGGTTTCCAACTTGAGTGACTGGATGTTAACCAAAGGCAAGGATTCTTAGCAAACACGTGCAACGTAGGTTGGCTGACCACTCAACGGGGATGTTGCAGAAGAGACAAGAGCTCTATGGAGGACAATGACTGGACAAGATAACCTCTAAGAACTTTCTCTAGTCTGAAATTCTACAGCTCAGTTGCGGAAGGTTTTTAACTTAAGAGAGACAGTCTATGTTTTCATCTTCACATGCTCCACAATGCCTGGCGTTTGCAGGGCTGGGTACAAACACAGCTGGCAAAAGAAGGAACCCAAAATTAAAAGGACATTTTTTTTAAAGATTTTATTTATTTATTTGACAGGCAGAGATTACAAGTAGGCAGAGAGGCTGGCAGAGAGAGAGAGAGGAGGAAGCAGGCTCCCTGCCAAGCAGAGAGCCCGATGCGGGGCTCGATCCCAGGACACTGGGATCATGACCTGAGCCGAAGGCAGAGGATTTAACCCACTGAGCCACCCAGGCGCCCCTAAAAGGACATTTTAATAGGATTCCCAATATGCAAGAGTATTAAGGTTTCCATATGCTATCTTAAACTTATTTTGTTAATATGAACAATGTCCATGATTTCTATTCTTCAATGACCCAAAGCACAAACCTGAGCTCCTTTTTTCCAGCTATAAATTTGAGCTAATAATAATCATAATAACAACAACAACAACAGTGCCTTCTTTATGGGGCAGTGTGAGTCCACTGTCACCACCCAAAGGATCTGAAAGTGAGCAAACACGCGAGAACTGCATCCACCCAAACTACTGTGGACCATGTGGGCGTGGCCACACAGAGATTCCATTCGGTCCAATGTAGCCAGAGGAGCTCAGGTGTTTGGTGTTTGCTGCTTTCAATGTGCCCGTCAGTAACCTAGTGGGCCAAGTTAATATTAGCTCGCACTGGGTATATGAGGGTATTTTGTTGCTGTTTGGAGAAATGACCAGTTTACTTGGCTATATTGACAGCTCTACTGTAAAATTTGCTGGCATTAAAGGTCAAAAAGACCCGGTTTTCCTCTGGTTGCTTCTACCCAAAAGAGAATAAATCTGGGAGCTGAATCACTTCTCTGACAATAATTTATGAATCATGCATTGACTGTGTTTGAATTGAGAAAGGCTTTCATATCCTTTCCATTAGCTCAGATTAAGTTTTCATACAGATGCTGGGAAGCATGCTAGCAATATCCTTAGCTCATTTTTATGAAAATTTTATCAGTGCTTTTTTCTGTACTACACTCCAATTGGGATGTCTCAGAATCTAAAGCTCAGCTTTGGACATGAACTTCTCTCAACCTGGCTGGCTGCTGCTCTAAAGGTTTCAATATTTTATGGGCTCTGGCTAACTCAGCCGTGAGATTCAAGCAGCGGAGATTTAACTCTAATGTAAAATCATGAACGGATGAAAACTGGGATGTCATAAGTAATACATCCACAAGAGCCAGGATGCAGTTACCATTTTTAAAAGGGCTTTAAAAAGAAAACAACATTCTCTGTTCTGTCTTTATGCCCCAAAATGAAAAGCCCCTGAGCTATTGTACTAACACGGGGCCATCTTTTCCTGCCTGCCTTTCTTCAATTGCTGCTTAATTGTTGTGGTGGGCTGGGGTTCCCCCGGCCCCCCCTTAAGGTCCCCCATCCACATGAAAGCCCCTAATGCCTGCATTCCAGAGAAATGGGCACCATGTGGTCGAATGTGTATAGGCCAAATCCATTTCTTAGCATCTTCCTCTTTTTGTCTCAAAACTGATTTCAAACATTTGGAAAATCTGTCTATTCAGCTGAAGTGTTCTAGTGCATTCTTTCTGAGAAACCATGGGGTCACATGTGATCCATCTGATGGACTTTTCCGCTGCAATCTATAGCCATTTCCCCCGAGCCCCGCAGAGCCTGGCAAAGCGGAGGAGCTCCGTAATGGCTCCAGTAACAATGTGTTCTTTGTGTGAAAGAATCCAGGGGGAAGAGCTGGGGTAGACTGGTCAGGAACGAAAAAACAGCATCTTTGCGCTTACTTATTTCTTCATTATGTACTCGGCCATTAAATGTACTTTTTAACAGTAAATACCCCTTTCCATCAAACGCTGCCCAAGCATGAAAAGAACAATACAGGAAGTTTTATTTTTAGAAGATTGTGGACATTACTGCTACCTATTAACCTGCTTCAGATTAGACAGCTGATGGCAGGTCTGCATTGCATCTGTCTGAACTCGTAAAGGGAGAGATGGCTCTAAATGGAGCTTAATTCATCTATTTCAAAATGTCACCTGATATATGCATTGGAATAAAACCATCTCTTTCTAATTCCAAAAATGTCACAAAATCAACACCCCACTAAAATAACTACAGAATTGCAGATTGGGCCTTGGCTCTTCAGGCACCCAAGCAAAGAGGAGACTGCTGGTCTTAAAAGCTTCAGGGGGCCATGAGCTCCCTCAGGAGCCCTTCCAGTGTTTCATCCTTTTGAAAGTTGCTGTTCTGCACTTGTATTCAAGAGATCTCGCCTATTTCTATTGAGGACCATCTCCTCTTATATAGCTGAATCACACACAACATGGGAAATAAGTCTTTCACTCAGACCTCATATATCCTCTTATATTACATAGACCTCTTATTTCACACAGACCTCTTAAGTGAGTTCCCCCTTTGGTCTCACCTTCTGCTGGATACCAACTTCTTTAGCATACTATGTAAGAGGCACTTATCCTTCGTGTAACCACCAACATTAATATTAAATATTCCAGAGAAAATTGGGGCGGGGTGACTTACTAAATGAAAGGATTTAAATGCATGTGTATATGTGAGAGTGAGAAATGAGATCTCTCACATAGGCCAGGAGGAGAATTGCTGCAGCCTCTCCAGGAGACAGTTTGGCACCAGTTATGCAGAATCTCCAAACAGTCATGCCCTTTAACCTACTCTTCCACTTTCAGCAACTCATCCTAAGAAAACAATTATGAATACAAGAGAGACTAAGCTGAGAAAGTTGTTTGCAATGGTATTCGGAAGTAGTTAAAAGCTGAAAACTAGCATTCTAACCACCGCAGAAGAGTAAAATCAATGACTATTTTGAAAGAAAAAGAAAGTACTAGAAGAAAAAGCATGATACCAAACAACACACACACACACACACACACACACACACACACAGCCTAACATCCATTTTTTTAAAGAAAATAGGACCGACACCTGTGGTGTACTTACCAGGTGTGTCAGGCACCGTACTAAGCAATTTCATGTATGTTATTTCATTTCATCTTCAAAACAAACCTATGACTACATTCTTATTATCCCTATTTTGTAGATAAGATAATTGAGGCTTAGACAGTTTAAGGCCAAGGCCAAGAAGGTAGTAAGTAAGACTGGAAACCATTTCAGTTTGATGATACACGTTGTGGTCTTAACAATAATGTTTGACTATTTATTTATATAAACATATAAAACACTCAAAATTAACAACACCAAGCAGTAACACTTATTATTCCTGATGTCGGGATTACCACTCACTACATTTTTCTTTAAATTTATTTTCCGAGGTATCTCAAATAAACACCTCTCATAATTGCATTTTAAAAAGATACAGAAATGTGGTAATTCTCTCACTGACCCTTTCTCCACTGACACACACGGATACACACAGGTAATACATAATGTTCTTCGTAAAGCACGAATTTTCTTCAGCCTTCAAAATTTCTGTCATCAGCATCCTCTCTCGGTGTGTGCTTCTCTAAAGAGGCTCTGATGGGTACCACTACGTGCAGGAGAGTCCCAGCCCTTGCATTTGAGACCATTTCAATTTTCCTTTTCTTGCTTTGCTGCCAATTAACAAAATTCCATTAGAGACCATTAGCACCACAGCAATGCTAGAGTCGGTCTTTGTGCACTATAAACACTCTTACAGGCTTATTGCTATTTTCAAGCCTTATTTATAACTGCCCAGATGTGAGCAAAACCCTGTCTCTGGAAGCGAGCTACATTTCTTCCCTGTTCTTTTTTTTTTTTTTTTTTTTTTTTTTTCTCATAAAGAAAAATTTATTATTTCCACCTGAATAATGGATCAGGGTTACAAAGAATCAGGGAACTGGATGGAATATCCCAGACAGCTCACTGTAGGTAACAACTTCCTTCCTAGGGTGTGGCTCACAAGGGTCCTTGATGTCTGGAAGTACCACTTGAGCACAGGCCTTGGACAATGAAGACAGTGCCTACCACAATGCCCACAAGGCCCACAGCCAACCCCAGGGCACAGACCATGGTCTCTGTCAGCTCTGACATAGGGGCTGGAATTTCAGGTTCCCAGTGTTTCAGAAGTGGTTCATCCAGGCCCCAGTGCTCCACCTTGCAGTCATAAATATCATCAGCAGAAGGGAGGAAGGTGAGGTAACTGAACTTTAGGAAGGAATGATCCTTCTTGGCAAGGAATCTGGTTTCAGAAACACCTTCTGTGACTGAGTGCCTGTTCTTCAACCACGTGACATTGATCACAGGAGGAAAAATGTTGTCCACAAGACAGATGAGGGTGTTGGGCTGACCCAGCATCACAGGAGACTTTAGAAACAGGGTCACCTCAGGAACCTCATTGGTAGCAGCGGTATAGTTGGAGCGTTTAATCATGATGTTCAAGTTTTGTTTTGCTATTGCCAAGTTTCTCAGTGCACCATGTGGGTCAAATCTTCTAAATGTTTGAAACATGGGCAGCTGCCAGACAGTTTCCTTCTTCTCCAAGTCCACATAGAATTCCTCATCACCATCAAATTCATGGGTGTACTGGCCAGAGGGACCATAAGACTGGTAGACATTTACTCCATAGGAAGCAACATGATCAGCCACAATGTCTTCACTGCCACCAGGGCTCAGCATGGTGGTCAGGGCAAGAGTCCCCAGAATCAGAACTCTGTTCATGGTCATCCTTTTTTCAATGTGGTCTCCACAGTTGCCCTTCTGAGTTGCAAAGCCCATTTCTTCCCTGTTCTATCCATCAGCTGTCACTGGCAGTAAGAGCTCAATGACTGGGTGCTCACTGCAGTTCTGGGCATGAGGAGGAGGAAGAGGATCCTAGAGGCCAGGAAAGCCATAGCTCATTCTGCTACCGCCATGCTGCCTACAGCAAAACACAGCATGGGCTAGTTTACCTTGAAAGCAAGTAGGTGAATATAGTGGGAAGGTGTCACATTTATATCCCTAATCTTTTATATTCCTAATCCCTAATCCCTAACATTTATTGAACAAATACTAGGTGTCATGTGCTACACTAGACATTAAGTCTACAAAGATGAATAAGGCCTAGTCTCTGCCCTGGTGGAGTCCACAGTCTAGTCAGGAAGAGAGACTAAAAAATATAATTTGGGGCCTTACCAGGAAGGACCCTGTTAAGGAGTTTGGATCTTACCCTTTGAGGATGGAGAGTCCTCCGAAGTTTTAAAATCAAGTCATGACAGTCTAATTTGCTTAGAGAAGAAATACTCTGATGAGAATGTCAAAGACAGAGTGGTACCCAAGAAACCATTATGAGACTGTGTATTAGTCAAGGGAGCAGTTACACCAGTCCTCGCTAGCGCGATGGAGATACTGATACGTTTTGCATGCTGACTTGACCGGTCTTCCTAACCACCTGGATTGCAAATGCGCAATGAGGGAGCAGGAGAGGGCACAGCTGTCTTTGAAGTTTTTGGTTTGAATGATCAGTAAATGGTGATACCACCCACCATGACAGGGAACATAGAGGGAAGATTCTTAAGTTGTTTTTGGAAACGCAAAGTCTGATGTTTCTAAAGGACGTTTCATCAAGGTTTTTGACAAGGCAATTGGGAATGGAGGTGAGGAACTCATGAGAGAGGTCAGCGATGTGTTGGTGGTAATTCTGACATACATATATGAATTTCAGTTAGCACTGAGGGGTTTTTCCCTTCTGACATGCGAGGGGACGCCAAAGTAGGTTCTGAGCATGCAAACCCTTTAGATTCCCCATGCTCCTACCCAAACATGCTGCTGTAACCTGGTATGATTTTCTAATTGTTTACTTGTCTGCAAATTCTTCAAAAGCACAGACTATATATAATGAATTTGCTCAGTGAATTAATGACTGCATGGAAGGATGGCATGGGAAACGTGAAGAGATTATAGAGTCTGTTTTTCCAACAATTGTAACTCACTAAGTGGCAAACAAAAGAAGAATGGCCTACAGACACCCTGGTGGCAGTGGGAGGAGTGAACTCTTCACAGCCTTGCTGCTTTCACCACTCTATTCCTGACCATAAGTTTCCCCCCCTTTCTAATTCCACCCAAACCAATCTATTAAGCAAGCCATTATCTGAATTTAGCCCGCATCTTCTCACACCTGCCTTACTACAGCAACACCCCAGTGGCACCTCTCCAGGCTTGTACCCTCTAAGGCATTGCCCACACTTCAGCCGGTTCAGTATTTATACACTGCCAATCTGATCATGTCAATCCCTGTTCAAAACATGTCAATGGGTCATACTGTAATCATGGTAGAAGCCAAATTCCTTATGCTTATAATAGGGTCAGCTGTCCAAAACCCTCCTGGTGACTTCTCCAGCCTTACCTCCCTTCTTATCCTGCCTCCTTCTTCCATACTCATGCTGTCTGGTCACACTGAACTCCATTGGTCTTCCATGAGCCTTCTCTTTATTTATAGCCTCAGGACTTTTGCACATGCTATTTCCACAGCCTAGAGCCCTGTACCTTTCTTCTTGCCCCTCAGGCTGACTAACTCCTGTTAGCCTACGGATCTCTGCTTAGTCTTTCCCCCTCAGCCCGCAGGAAGCTTGCGCTAAGAAGGCAAGTCTTAGTTTCATGTTCCTGATAGGTCTCTCCATAGCATTCTACCATTACTTTCCCACAGTACTTAGCACACTCCACTGCCACAGCCTGTGGACCTCTCCTTCTCAGTAGATTGCAAACTCTCATTCTCTGCTGTTCCCCAGCTTCTAAGGCAATGCCTGGCACATTAATAAGCCTTCTACAAAAATCTGATGGATGAACAAATGTCCTGCAGAGATGGAGGATACACGAACATGTAGCCTGGCCAAACGGGCTTCCGGCTTTCTCTGTATCCTGGCTGGGTTGAGCCTGCAAATGAGGTCAATGTTTAATCAACTCGTCCACTAAGTGCCGTTAAACTATAGCTTCTCAGGCAGAGACAGAGATGAAAGAAAACTGAAGTTGAAATTCTCCTCAGAAAAAGAGCAAGCACTAATATTTCAAAGACAAGATGCTTAGATGAAACATACCCGGCTTGTGGTTGCAGTGGCAGGTGGGAGGTTATTAGCATCCCTGATAAGCAAGGAGATAGAGCCCAAGGCACTTCCTCTATTCTCTCCTCCCTGTCTCTCTCTCTTCCGTTTCTCTCTCTCTTCCCTTCCCCCTTTCCCAAGCAACAATCTGAAGAGAAGGAAAGCACAATTACGCAGTGCCTGTTTAAAATTTAAGAAGACAAAAATGAGTTGAGGGTTTATTTTTTCCTTTTTGCAGGAAACAAATTAGCCCACAGTAGACTTGTGCCTGCAAGCAGCCCATTTAATTTGGTTATTTCCTACGCCCTGAGCCTAGCTTTTTCCCACTAATTCTGCCGGCTTCTTTCCATATTGGGGCTTATCTCTTTGCAGTATCCAGAATCATATGACAAGTGAAGAGTTCTGTCTGTATTTTATCTATTTAATCATCCCACCACCTGGTTCCCGAAAGAATCTAAGGTGATGAGTCATTTTTCTGAACACAGTCTCTCCCCTAGATTGATGCCCACTGGTTTCAAGCAGCGCTTCCTAAAATCTCAAACCCTCACCATTAAATGTATTGTTAAAAATCAGTTCATAATGTTCATGATTCCAACATGTTTGGGATACTGAGGACATAAGCTCAAAAAATGACCATACGGGGAGTGCCCGCTCCCAGCTGTCCAGACGCACATGATCCCTGCGCACTGGCTCTACCTCAAGCTGGCAGAGGAATTCTGACTTCACCCTGAGCTCCAGGCCCATGTGCCCTACTCCCTGCCAGAAACTGTCATCTGATGGCTCTACAGGCATCTGACACTGAGATGCCCCAAATTCCCCTCCTGATCTTGCTCCCAACGTAGTCCGGTGGCCAAGAGCACAGAATCCACTGCCAGACTTCCTGAGTTCAAATCCTGGCTCTACCACTTAGCCGCTGCACCTGGGATGGCTTCAACGCTTGAAGCCCTCTGTGCCTCTGTTTCTTCATCTGTACACCGCCAGTGATAACAGTGCGACACCGCAGGCTGTCACTAGAGACCAAGTGTTTAGAACGAAGAGTAGCACAGTGTGTTCAGCATCCACAGGGGTGGATGTTGTCGCTGTTTGTTCCCTCCTCCTCCATCCCCTATTTGGTGTATAGCACTGGCACCTGCCAAATCTCCAGAAAGTAAATGTCAACCTGGCTCTTCCTAGCCCCACACTTCACCCGTAATTAGTTTCCCAAGCCTTGCTCACTTCACATTCCTAAAAATCTCCCGAGTCTACCTCCTTATCGCCACCTACAGGGACAACGTTTTGATTCAAGCTTCCTTCCTTTCTTAGCTGGATGAATGCGGTTGACCTCTAAAATGTCTCAGCTCCTCCAGTCTTGCCCCCTCCATACAAACCACTATGTCGTTTTCCTGCAGAGAGACACCTTCCTCAACTTCCTACTTCAAAGCCTGTAAGATCAGTCTCCGACTCCCCAGACTCCTTCCCCTCCCTATCTCCAGTCACGTGTATGGTGGATGTCAAACCCTGTGTGCGCTCTTGCCTCTGGTCTCTGCACGAGTCACTCTCTCCTGCCTCTTGATTCATTTTCTGCTTTCTTCACCTCGGTTCACTGTGCTTCTCCCGAGACCCTGCTATTCTCTGCACTCAGCAGTGGCTTGTGTATGCCTCCTCATGGTCCTCACCATGCTATATTGCCTTTGTCTGTTCATTTGGATATCTCCTTCACCCCGTTATTCCCTTGGCAAAGAGTCAATTTGGTATGGTCAAGAAGAACGCTGAAGTCATTCTGCCAGGTCTGAATTCTGGTTCCTAGCACTTCCTAGCTTGGTGACTTTAGGCAAGTTTTCTCATCTCTGTACCTCCATTTTCTTACCTATAAGGACAATGAAAAGTCTGACCTCATAGGATCATTGTGAGCATTAAGTGAGTTACTTGGAGCCATTCCTGGTACATAGTAAGATGTAAATAAAAGGAGGCTGTTATTATTAACCCTGTCTTATTATGAACTGGGACCTCAAACAGTACCTAGCAAAAAGTCAGCAACATAAATAGGTTTTAAGATAAAAAGACACAACACCCTGTCTTGAGACTGGTTTCATTGATCACCACGGTGGAGCAAATATTTGCAAGCACTGAGACCTCACAGCTCCCACGGCCTCCCCCCACCCCAGTGCAGCCTCCTCAGGGAGGTCCTCAAAGGCCCTGAACCTGGGTGGCTTGGTGCAAAAGGAAGATTGTGCACTTTGGAGCCAGAAGTCCTAATTCTGCCACCATAAAACCTGTTATTCTCTAGACAAATTACTTAATTTTGGTTTCCTCATCTGTGAAATGAAAAATCATACCTACTTTGCAATGAAATGTATAAAGCAATTGGCTTTGTGCTGGCATGTAGTAAATAGTGTCTACTAAAGTTAAAAAATTTTTTTTTCCTCAGCATTATTGAAAAAACATTCTAACTAATCAAAACCCACAGAACTCTTAAGAAGAAAGTTGTTAAAAGTGAATATTGGCGTAATGTTAACAGGGAAGGAAATGATCATTCAAGAGAACTCCAGGTATGTTTTTGGAGATGAGGAATTTATGTGAAATAAATCCTTTCTGATAATTTTCTGATAACCTGAAAGTGAGATCCTGGCAAGTACAATCTTGTACAAGAAGTGTCATGTGGAAGAGCGTGAAAGCCTGTCCTGATGTCTTTGATCCATACAATAACTGAGCAC